CTTCATCTTTCTCCCGCAGAGCGGCTGGTAGTTTCGAACCGCTGACCTTAAGGTTCGCAGCCCGATTCGTAACCACTACGCTACCAGAGCTCCTTAACTCAGGACTTAGGGGGCAGTAAACAAGAGTGAAGCTGCCTCTGAGGTTTGCACTGGATTTGGGGGTGTGCAGCTGATTCCTGCTGCCCTTCCCATGAATTACCTTAATAGAGACCTCCCTGGGGGGGCCCACTCTGGTTGCTAATTTACTGATGAGAACACTATAGGCCATAAAGCAAGGGCAGACCAAAACCCAGGTTTGAGACTAAGTTCAAGGGGTCTTGTGAAAGTCTCTGTGGTCTCCGAGGTTTGACTATGCCTGCTACATTTTGTACTACGGGGCTAAAGTTACGTGTGGACCCATCATGTAAGCCCACTGGACTATTTATATTCATAATGAGCACACCAACTAGGTTGCTTGCCCTCAATCAGCAGCAACTATTTTTAGGATCACCAGAGTCCCAGAAAGAAGTGGTATTAGTTGGTCAAAGGCTTGGCTTGCAAGTTGGGAACCATGGTCACTCCCAGCTGCTGGCCATTTTTCCTTTCTTATCCAATTTCTCATCTTGTTTCCTCATTTCAGGAAATATTTGTGAGGCACCTATTATATATGCAAGGCATTTAGCCATATGCTGGGTTTACCAAGAAGAAATGTGGTGACATTTATGGATAGGGTACAAGTTCAGAGTCCTTGGACTGAGATGTGGTTTACAAATCAGAAATATTTAAGTTTCAAAAGGTAGTATGCATATGCTCTGTTGTTTTTTGTCATTAAGTGCCATCGAGTTGGTTCTGACCCATAGCGATCCTGTATAGGGTTTCTGATAATTGCTGTGAAGTGTGGGCTGCACCTCTTAATCATATGCATTATTTCCACATTGAAACATGAATATTTCCACTGAATGGAAGAAGACTGAAATTTGGTTCGCTTCATCTTTTGCCACCAACTGAGTTTGCTTCACACTTAGGAAAAACACTCTTCAGAGCTTCTTGCTTTTTGGAATTATGCATGAAGGATTTGTGGTCCTTATTTTGGGAGCCTTGAGGAATGACCCCTAATTGAGTTTGGGTGACAGGGGTGAAGGTCTAGAAGAGTTGACACTCAAGTTGTGAATTCAAGAAGGGGTAGGCAGGCAAACTGAGGTGCTTTTCTGCTATCCTCCTTGGAATAGATTGTAATTATGTTGGCAGAGTGTTTTAAAATCTGAGTTAGACTTGCCCTGCGTTACAATAGAAGGGACAACTAATGAAACGTGGTTCTTGTAGCAGACCTGGCTTTGAATCCCCTGCTCAGCATTGAACGACATATGTAACTCTTACTTAACTTCTCCGAGTTCACGCCCTCATCTGTAAAATGGGCACAATAGCATCTCTATTGAGTTGTGACAAAAAGCCCAACAAAACTAAAACTAGTGCCCGGTACATTGCTTGGCATCTAGAGGACAATCAGTTTATAGAACTGTTTTTGGTGGTTCTATGACTTTGAGACCTGGAGTCCTGGTGTGGCACTGTGGGCTAATGTGTCAGACTGCAAAGTCATTTGAACTGCAAGGTTGGTGGTTCAAGCTCACCAGCTGCTCCTTAGAAACCCTATACAGGGTTGCTATGGGTTGGAATCGACTCGACGGCACTTCACAACAATAACTATGACTTTGAGATAGGTCACATGTTACTACCCAGGCCTAATGCCCCTCACCTGACCACCCTGGCTCATGATGCTCCCTTTCCTGAAGTCCTTGGCTGTTTTCTCATCCTTGAACATAATTTCTTTTTCCCCCTGACACAATGAGTTCCTTAAGCACAGAGACCTGAGCCATTTACATCAATCAGTGCCCCAGATGCGTGCAAGATAGACAGAGTCCTTGTTGATGCAGTTCTTCCTGCAGACCCTGAGCCATGCTAATGAACCAGCTCTTGACCCCAGGAGCAAAAGGACTGCCCTCTCATTAAAAAGCAAATCAGCAGGGTTGGACTTTACTCTCCAACATTTTAATGATTAAAAAAGTTGCCTGAGCTTTCGGTGTATTTATTTTGTGGGTAGTTGATGAGAAGCCCTTGTGTTTGTGCTGCATTTGCTCTTTGGACTAATCAGAACTCTGAGCATGGTTTGACTGGGAAATCTCATTCATGTACAAGTAGAATTGTGCTGCTTCTTACCTCCTTCCCATCTCTCCTCACCAGCTAGTCTTCCCAGAGTGAGCCCTAGCTTATTCAGTGCCTCATCATTTTCTCTGAGTGCTCCTAGGCAGGTCACCTAACCACTGTGAAAAATGAACCAGCTGCGTGACTAGTTTCTACAGTTTCTGTCGTATCTCCCCATTTTCTCTTACAGATGTGTACAGATGTTTATGAGGCGTTTTTCAGTGTCAGCTGCTTCAAGTTCTGAACTCTGTTTCTGGTTTGCTCTTAAATTTGAGATCAACTTTATATTCATTTTACTTGTTAGGAATCATTCCGTGTTAAACATGTCCAACTCAATCAGTTTTTGGTTAGCTTGTTCATGTCAGCTAACGTGCCAACTAATTCCTTTTCCTGTATCTGTGAAAAGGAAGACAGTTTCCCATTGGTCATTTGCCAAATAAACTTTCTGCTAAATGTTATATGAATCTTTAAGTCATGGAAGGAAAGGGTTATGCAGGGCTGATATTATAAATATATACTTTAAGGAGTATCTTCAAAACTCTGCTGGTTTCCTAAAAACTAAATTTCTCGATTCATTTTGGTCCAGGTAAGAACTAATAACTTTGTAAGAGTTAAGTGGCGATATATGGATCAGAAAGAAAAGCAGTGATCCGAACAGTAGCTACTGTAACTGCAGATTATTTGGTATATTAAAAGAGACCAGGACAGTGACTAATACAGCTTTTTAGTGACAGCAGAATTTAAAATTAGAAGAATGCGATAGCAAAACCATAGCGCATGGATCAAATATTTATGCAATAAAGGTGAGAAATTCTCTTGGCGGGAAGGATCTATAGTAGACAGGAAAATACTGATAATGAATATGTGAGAGTAGGAATTTCTGGAATCAATCCTTGCATGGATGATGTGACCAAAGAGGAGGAGCATAGCTTGCTTACTCATCAAAACAGGGGAAGGTCTGGTATGTTTCCATTGTTTCACTTTCTTAGTGAAGCATGAGGCATGGCAAGCGGCTAAGAGTATGGATGATGGTGGTAGTGTGCCATGGAGTTGGTTCCGACTCATAGCAATCCTGTATAGGGTTTCTGAGGCTGTAAATCTTTATGGGAGCAGAAAGCCTCATCTTTCTCCTACAGAGCAGCTGGTGGTTTCAAATTGCTGACCGTGAGGTTAGCAGCTCAACTTGTAACTCACTACACTATCAGAGCTCCCTAAGAGTATGGATAGAGAGGTGCTATTGGAGGTTTGAGGAGCAAGGGATACACCTGCTCCTCACTTCTCAACATAGTTAGGTTCCAAAGACCAGATCATTATGTGAAAATCAGCATTATGTGAGAATGGAAGATGACCACATCAGTTATGACCACATCAGTTCACCAAATGGAGACTGATTCCATCATTACATTACTGCCGAACCACTGAGAATCCTGGCCCAGCCGTGTTAACACATAACCCTCACAGCCAGCTTACTCTCACTTTGTACCTTGGCATTCGTTACTGTCAGATGTCCATTGTTAATGTGCAGAATAATCAGTAGAGTGTTGTTGTTTTACTGTAGCCAAAAATGTGAAATGTCAGATAACAAGGTAATTGGTAAGTGTGGAGTAAGTGTAGTCCTTCAGGAGAGTAAGAAAGTGAATAAATCAAGGATTTCTAGTCTGATTGTCAGGCATCTCTGTTGTTAAGTGCCGTAGCGTTGGTTCTGACTCATAACGATCCTGTATAGGGTTTCTGAGGAGCGGCTGGTGAGCTTGAACCACCAACCTTGCGGTTCAAACTGACCTTGCAGTCTAGCGCATTAACCCGCAGCTCCACACCAGGACTCCATCAGGCAGCACTAAGCGTCAGTACTTTAAAGCACGTTCAGTCAGCATGGTTGTGTTTTTCTCCAGCCACAGTCAGCTATACAGCTGCATCCTCTCAGTAGATGAAGAGCCAGATTTTGCCTGGGAGCCCTCGTGCTCAGTGGTTAAGCATGCTCAGCTGCTAACCAAAAGGTTGGCGGTTTGAACCCACTAGTTGCTCTGTGGGAGAAAAAGATCTGCTAGCTCTTGCCCCCATGGAGCCACTAGGTAGGTTTTAACCGCCAGCCTTTTGGTTAGTAGCCAAGTGCTGAACCATTGTACTACCAGGGCTCCTTTCTTATCCTGTGGTGGTGGTTGTGTGCTGTGGAGTCGGTTCTGACTCATAGCGACCTTGTATAGGATTTCCAAGGTTGTAAATCTTTATAGGAGCAGAAAGCCTCACCTTTATCCCGTGGAGCAGCTGGTAGATTCGAACTGCTGACCGTGCGGTTAGCAGCCCAACTTATAATCTACTACGCTACCAGTATCCCTTTCTTAGCTCTTAGTACCTGG